CAGTGCTGCTATTATCTCCCGTAGACTTATTTACATGATCGCAGCACTGTTATTATGGTTTGCCACTACAGTTTCCGCTGACTTTTCACTGTTTGTCAAACTTAGCCCTTTTGACCAGTCAACAGACTGTGAGTCCGTTTTCTTGAAAACAGTCTGATTTGAAAGTAAGTCATGTATTATTGTAGCACTCCGAATCAGTATTTCGCAAATTATTCAGTATTTTTAAATGAAAGATTTTGCGAAAAATGCACTCTGATTTTCATGAAATAGCGGGGTGTTACAGAGGCTATGAGTGCTCTGATGACTACGGCATGGCAGGGCACACCCGTAAGGGAGCATGCTCTCAAGGTTATGGCGCTACTCAATGAGCTTGAGGTTATGGGAGGTTTTATTGACGGGGAAACCCAGGTTGATATCTTGCTCCAATCTCCGCCGAAGAGCTTTGATCAATTCCGGTTGAACTACAACATGCACAAGATGCATATGGCTCTTCCAGAACTGTTAGCAGAGCTTCGGTCGGCGGAGGCCTTATTCACTCAGGCGCCTCACGCACTTGTTGACGAGTAGGCTGGACCTTGCAGGCCTCACAAGGGCAGGAAGAGAAAGAAGTTTGCAAGAAAGGCAAAGGTGCAGGATGCCCCGGCGGTACAGCGACTTCCCCCTCAATTTATGGCAAAGAAGCCGAAAGGTAGATGCTACAAGTGCAACAAGTCAGGACACTGGAAGGTCTGCTGTCCTCTCCTCAAGAAAGGTAACTCTCTCGTTAATGTCGTAGAAACATGTTTAGCGGTTGTATCTACCATAACTGGTGTGTAGATATTGGAGCCACTAATCATGCCTGCAATTCGTTGCAGGGGTTCCAGGAAACCAGGTGGCTTAGGAAGGGAGAGATCACCGTCTACATGGGCGATGCTACGAAAGTGGCAGCTGTTGCAGTGGGAGACATTACTTTATCTTTTGATAGTAGTATTTTGGTTTTGAGACATTGCTTTATGTTCCTAGTTTTTGAAAGAATCTTGTTTCAGTTTCTATACTTGTTTCAGATGGATTTTCTTTTATGTTTGATGGCATGGTTGTTATTCGTTATAAAAAGCATTTCATTTGTTCTGGTTCATTAGTTGAAAATTTATATGTTCTCAAACCAAACTCTCACACACTGCAACAAACTGAATTGAATAATGTCATGATTAAATCTAATAAGAGGAAGGAATCTTCGAGTATGAATCAAGCATATCTTGGCACCTTAGACTTGGGCACATCAGCCTAAGGAAGATTCAAAAGTTAGTGGCAGTGGACTTCTCGGTCCACTGGAAGAGCACTATCTAACTTGCGAATCATGCCTAGAAGGTAAGATGGCCAAGAGGCCATTTATGGCAAAGGGGTATAGGAGCCAAGAAGTGATAGGATTGATTCATTTTGATTTATGTGGTCCTATGTCGATTCAGGCTAGATGAGGTTTCGAGTACTTTGTCTCTGTTATAGATGATTACTCGAGATTTGGGTACATTTATCTCTTGCACCGCAAGTCCGAATGCTTTGAAAAATTCAAGGAGTATCGGGCAGTTGTGGAGAAGCTTCATGTTAAAATTATCAAGTCGCTTCAATCTTATCGATGTGGCGAATACCTCTTTGGAGAGTTCAGGACATATTTATCGGAAGCTGGGATTGAATCCCAATTGACTGCACCCAGTACGCCCAGCAGAACGGGGTTGCAGAACGAAGAAATAAAAATCTTTTGGAAATGGTTAGGTCGATGATGAGTTATTCGAAGTTACCAGATTCGTTTTGGGAATTGGATTTAGAAACAACTGTGTATATTCTGAACATGGTTCCTTCAAAGTCGGTAGAAACTACTCCTTATGAGATGTGGAAAGTGTTGGGTTCTGTTAGGAACGTCAAACAACATGCACAATATTGAACTTTATCGAAA